CCCCCCAAAACACCCCTTCTCCCACAAAACCAAAACGTGTGTTTTTTATTGTGTTAATTATAGTTTATATTCAATGATTCAATCTTTGGATCATTAAACTATCTCCAACATAAGGGGACGTTTGTTTCTGGATGTGCTGTAAATCATCTCTCAGTTTTGATGTTTTTGAACATTTTCCATTTGTACCACAAATTTGTGGCAGCTTGCCATGATTGGGAATCTCTGAAAACATGAGCAAAATCTTTTGGAAACTAATATCCCACAGGAACTCTTTGGTAAATGTTTTTATGCCTTCGCATTTTTAAAACATTTATGGTGCTTTTCTTTGTTTATTTATACCAATTGGACAATAAAATCAATCTAAAGCCTTGATTTACCATCTGGCAAAGTAAGAAAGTTTGTTTGTTTTGTATATTTTCCTTGACTAGGGAAAATATTGTGCAGGTTTGTGTTTTTAAAGTATGTATTACAAATAGAATTTTATATCATACAAAAGAATTTTATATTGTACTATTATAATATTCAAAAGTGTCAAACTACCACAGGCAAACAAAACATCAAAGAAAATAACCCACACACCCACAAACGTCAAATTGATGTTTCTCATGGCAAGATGAGTATGGATACTCGCCCTATAGCAATGCAGAAATGCGCCCTGGGTGGCAGGCATGCAACATTCCATTTATAACGCAAGATATTTATTGTCTGTGTTAAGACGCTTTTGGTGATGTAAAGTGCATGTTTCACAATATTACTTTAAGAGAAGCCTTTTAGCTTCTCATACTTTTCCAAGGGAGGGGTATTTCTGAGTATTGGAGAGAGAGGGAAGTTTTTAATATTCTCTGCCTATGGCGCTGTTCAAGGAGCCGGCGTCCGCCGGGGCTCAAAATTATTTATCCCCAATCTTAATATGCCTTCAGTTAAAGGTATTGTGTGGGGGAAACAAGCAGTGAGAATATATAACTATTCTCACTGGGAGTTTTCTCCCACAATAATATATATGTGATTGTCAGACAGCATAAGATAAAACAAAATCGGTATTTTTTTAGCATTTGTCACTGAAACATAATCAAATGTTATACCAAGATAGGTAAAATGGTCAACTGAGCTAAGTCACTGTTCACTAACCGAGATCTTTGGTGGTTCATATGTTCTTGCACATTTTTTTATTGTTGGAAGAGAACTTTAGTTTTCCGAGCATTAATTGTAAGTCGAAATGCCAGTGTAGGCAAAGTTGAAGGCATCCATAGCTGCTTGTAGGTCTTGCTTTGTATGAGATACTATGGCATTATCATCAGCATATTTAAACTCAAGCGTTGTTATTTGGATAACCAGAGTTTAGCCTTTAGTCTTTAGTCGTCAAAGATTGAATAGTTTGTTGTCCAAACGATAGTGTAAATCGGGACTAGCTAACAGTCGTGGGTCGTGGGTAGAATGTCGTGGGTAAAAAGTCGTGGGTAAAAAGGCGTGGGTCGTCGGTAAAAAGGCGTGGGTCATGGGTAAAAAGTCGTGGGTCCCGAATAAAAAGTTGTGGGTTCCAAGCAAAATATTTCCATATATTTACCTTTCTCCCTTTGCAATGCGTGTTTTTTTTCTTCTGAGGCTTTCCCAAACTATGCCCAAATATGCATAGCTTAGGTGCTGATTACATGGTGCCGAGCTGGCCCGGTTAACCGGGCTAACTTGTTTGTTTTGGACCTTACTGTGGTTTTAAAACTCGCGTAAAATAAATTTGCGATAAATAATTGGTTTATTATAGATGCAAAATCATCCTAAACCCGATTTAAAACTCATTTTGCGGCCCAAGGAAGATTTTCGTGACATTTTTCTGCCCGGTTAACCGGGCTGGCCCGGTCCATGTAATCAGCCCCTAAGAGTGCGTTAAGGCCGGATTTTTGATATCGGCAGATCGGTTTATAAATATTATAACCAAGTGTGGATGAAACAGTTCAAGTTCAAGCCCCATATAGCTCAAATATTTGGACGTTATAATCTTATAGACAGATAAATATTGTAATTCTTCAATAGGAAATAGTGCTGTCAAGCCTGTCATTCTGACATTCAGGGCTTCACTAATTTGTTGATCGATGTTCTTACAGTAATAAGCGAGAAATTTCCACTTGGACAGTGTTAATTTAATGCAATGTCTGTTAATTTACTAGAGAAAAATAAAAGAAAGCATTTGAGAGATTTCACTTAAATACATACTTAGTATCTAACCATGATGTTGCAGTAGTGAATCTAGTGTCAAATTTATTATGTGATTTGTATTTTCCAATGTCAAACATATAAGTTACAAATATACAGTCACATAGTGACACATACAGTATTTGTAACATTCATGCTTTGACTTATCTTTCAGTAGGCTTTTAATTTGTCGGATTATTTTACCGTAGGTTTGATAACAGAGAGGTATACTTCTACATATTTCTTGAGCATCAAGTTTCAACAAAGTCAATAGCAAGTTGGAATTTGGAAATTTCACAGCGCTTATTTAATAACAGCCCGAGTAGCATTGTTTACATGCAAGGTTTGTTCCGTTTGTAGTTTGCAATATTTCATTAATCGTTTAGGATAGACTTCAGCAGTTTTAAATAACAGCAACATTGGTTGGTCTAGAGATATATTTTCTTGTAATGTTTACGACGATGTCGGTAATATCAACAACAAAATTGCCGATATGGATATCGATGCATCCACTATTTTGCAGACCGGCGATCTTCGAATTCTTTGTATAGTATATACATGAAGACCATATATAAGTCAAATGTCATATTATTTCATTAATTAAATGGTTAGCTATACTCCGCAGTTCCATATATAGCTCTGAAAACATATGATGCCATTGCCGGTTATAAAAATTTGACTATAATATCGAGTGGATAGTGCTACTCAGCTTTCGTACATGTGGCCTTGAGCCATATTCTTATTGAAGAATTGCAGTAACTAATTTATCTGTCTATAAGATTATAACGTCCAAATATTTGAACTATATGGGGCGTGAAGTTGAACTGTTTCATCCACACTTGGTTATAATATTTTTAAACCGATCTGCCGATATCAAAAACCTGGCCTTAACACGCTCTAAGACTATGCGTATTTGGGCATAGTTTGCGAAAGCCTCAGAAGAAGAAAAAACACGCATGCCAAAGAAAGGTAGAAAGGTAAATGTATGGAAATACTTTGCTTGGAACTCACGACTTTGTATTCGGGACCCACGCCTTTTTACCCACGGCCCACGCCTTTTTACCCACGGTCCACGCCTTTTTACCCACAGCCCACGCCTTTTAACCCACGACCCACGCCTTTTTACCCACGACCCACGCCTTTTTACCCACGACCCACGACATTCTACCCACGACCCACGACATTCTACCCACGACCCACGACTGTTAGCTAGTCCTGTGTAAATCTGTGCCCTGCAGTAGCCTTTCACTAAAGAAGGGACCTAGAACCAAAACACAGAAGGGACCTAGAACCAAAACAAATCCTTGCTTAACACCGGTCTTTACTTCAAAGCTGCCAGTTGTTTTGCTATTAATAGTCTGCTTTAGCAAACACAATGCGATGTCAAGTAGGCAAAAAAAAGTAGGCAAAAAAAAGGTGACATAGTGACACCACAAATACAGAAAGTTCTTGGCAGTGTTTTCTCCAAGTTGGTGTAAAATGGATCAAAAACTACTTTGAAGTTCTCTAGTTCTTTGAATGTTTATAACTGTGTTCTCTTAAAAACTAGGATTATTGTATAAATTCCCTTTCATTTCGGTTTTTGTTTTTAGTAAATACAACAACTTTTAGCCTGAATTTGAGGTTATATTATGTGTATACAGACATTCACACTTTATATTTCTTTACACTAAGTATAACTTAATATAATTACAAAATATATTATAATATAGCATTTGTAAATTCTGAATGCTGTTTGGCTGAGAGCAGTGTTGATATAACTCAATGTGAAGTAAGCAATCTTATAAAGCAATTTTAGCCTAACAGGTTCTTAAAATCTAGGACTAGGTTCTTATGTGTGGTGTCTTACTGCATATCATATTTTAGCCCAATGCTACAACATTATATGAACAGATTGTATCTTTCTATACATTGTATCATTGTCTCAGGCTCTCAGCTAACATGCATATAGCGATTAGCTAGCCTATGTTGCAGCCTGCAGGCGTTTATATGCTTGTGGGAGGTGCAAAGAATAAGCGAATAAACACCTCATACACAGGCTACCATGTAGCTGGATATAATTTACATTTCCTATTTTCCTATACTAAAGCGTTATCGCATTAAAGACTATTCATGAAGTATTTGATCTAAAGAACTGGTGAATTTTACCATTATCTTCCAGGAGACGGTTGTATAAAACTCTTAACTGCTTTTTAACCACTATTTTTTAGGTAAATAGTAGTTAACTCTTAAATTCCCAATTTGATTGGTTAATTAAGGTTTGCACCAACAGTTATTAAAATTTTAACTACATTATACAACTGGTCCCAGGGTTCAAAACATAAATATATCTGCCCAATATTTCCAGAGTTATTTGTTTACATGTTAATAGTATAACAGCTGTGCACATGCATTGTTATTTCACCACACTACATATAGTCGACAAAATAGAGTTAATAGACATTTTAAGCTGAGTGGAATATACCCGGTCAATGTACAATAATCAATTTTGAAAATGCAACAAGTACAATTTGAAAATGCAACAAGTACAATTTGAAAATGCAAAAGTTGATGCTAAGACCCAAGTCTTATAAAATATATTGAAAATAAAAGCAGTTGTTTCTATTAATGAAAGAGAAACTGCACATTGGACAAGCATCTATACTCTCAATTTAAAAAATGCCGATCCGGTATTTTACATTTTATTGAACAAAAAGTTTTATCTCATGATGTCCTACAATGATTTCCGGACTGGACGCTCGCTGGACACAAGGAGCCCAACTATGTCCTATTTAATATATCAATAAAAACACATACGAACTATTAATGTTCTTTTAATTTAATCTAAAGGTTTTCTGAAGTCAACATGGCTTTTGGGGAAAGTACAAGGTATATATTGTCTTGATCAACTGATGACGGGAACCACAAAAGAAACAGAATTGAGACAGTTAGGAAAGAGGCAATGGCGACTTGTGTCTTGAAGAACTGGGCTGGCCTGATTCAAGTAATGGCATTGTCATCTGTCCTTAAACAAGTCATATATTCAGTATATTCTGATTATTCATGTGGCATTCGTCCTCTTTTCCATGGTCCAATACAACCCAGAGGCAGAGATAGCAATTCCCAACCTGCGCATGTACTTTACATCGCGTGGTCAAGATGTGATAATTTCAACAACAGAATGACTATGTTTCAACCAAACCATTTCATTCCATTGCTACCACAGGGTTACAATCTAAAGAATGAAAATGATTCTCCAACTCTTGCTTCATCTGATATTGCACCGAACGCATCAAAGTCAAAGTCACCATCGGCAAAGAGGAAGAATTCTAAGCGCAAACGACAAGTGCCAATAACAGTGTGTTGGTAAACGCCAAACAGCCGGACAATTAAATCAGACATTACTTTATCTAATTTGCAAACACAAATGGCAAAACGTAGACAACCTGACTGGATTATGACAAACCACACCCAACCGATGCAAGATGGAAAAATATTATCTCCAAGTCAATTAAGCGTCAATATAGACAAGGTAATTGACCCCATTTTGGATAATACTGGGCAAGAATATGCTAGAGTTGGGGAAAACCTGCACGAAGGGATTGATGAGCAGATAAATAATAGCAGTCAGCCACCAAATGGGTGCAACAGCCAGCTACATTCTCTCATCAATTACCATTTCCATCTTTATCTCGTAAGTGGTATGCAGGTGAAGCTTTGTCCTCCGAGATTTTCAAGAAAGTACAGTGTCATCTTAATGTAGTTCAGATTTATATTAAAGGAATTGCTTATTTCACGAAAACAGAAATTTTGATTTACCCGACATCACTGAAAGATTATCTAATATTTGTAAATCTTCTATCAAGGAAGAAATTAATAACCACATAAGCGTGAACGTTAGTGACCTACTACAAACATCAAAGCATTATTTGCTAAAGCAAAAAACGTTAAACATGTTGCAAAAATGCAAAGTCCATAACTGCTCATCTATATGTGTGGCAGAACAAGAGCTATGTCATAAATTACACGAATTTAAAAATATCAAGCGGTGAGGAATGATTTCACGAACGAGTAACAGGGAAGGCTAACTAAACGAATCATTACCCAAAGAAAGCACAAGCTTTTCAAGCTGCAGTTTGAACACGAGGAAGGAGTTTAAAAGCAGACATATTTCCTGAACTAAAATTCGTTCTGGAAGAAATTTTCAGCCATGGTAGCAATGGGCTACTAGGAGGTCTAGAGAGCCATCCTTGTCTTACAACTGACATATTGTATAGATCTCATGATAACACTCTTTTTATGCATCAAGCACATGAAGTTTTACTGAAGGTTTCTCCTCCTGGCTTTGGAATATCTTTGTCATCATGTTATAATTATACCGAATCGTACAAAGAAAACACTTACTCTGCCAAACGTCATCATGCAGGAAAGGACGTAAATGCACATATTGCATTGAAATACACACCGAGAACTGGTGTTTTCAAGCAAGTGATAAATTTTCATTGGACCACAAAGAATGTGAATTTACTGGTTGAGAGTTGTATGACCTGTGAATCTAATTGTTTTGTAGACTCAAAGGATGCAAAGACGGTGATCTGCAGAGATATACAACTGGTTCAAAACCCAGGTAAGAGCTGGAAAGCTATCATTTATCCAGATCACACCTTCAGCCACACCAATGCGGTCGGTCTATCCTATGGCACACCTGTTTTTGGATAACAACCAAAACGTATGCAAGGATGATGCTGAAACCATCAAAATAACAAGAACTGGACGACCTGTACTTGTCATTAACATAGCTTTTTTCGAACACAAGACGACATTCTGAGCTATAAACGAGTTTCTTTATCTTTTGACAGAACCATCATTAGATAAGATCTTCCGAAACGCCGAGACTGGTCAGCTCAAGGTCTATATTTGCTTTTTTCGTGGATAATGGTCATGGAGAAGACCCTGATAGTCTGTTGACGCGAATGTGCCTTGCAATAATTTTGCATATGCTGAAGTTTAAAAAAATCAGCCAAATTAAACTAAATTTTTTTGAGAGTCCACACAGAAGAAAATACCACTCTGTTCCGTCATGGCGCTTTTGACAGCAAGCAAATTCATCCCAGCCCTCAACCTGGCACCAAAGAACACTTAGAAAACATGGAAGAGATGGCAGAAGATGTGAAAAATTGTTTATCTATCGCAAGCTCGTTTTTCTGGAAGATTTCTATAAGATAATTGGGGGTGTACATTCATATATTCATATTCACATGCCGTAAAAACAATCGCTTTCAAAAGAAATCCATTGGGCAGAACACAAATATATGAATATACACCCCCCGCCGATTATCACTAGTATAACAATGTCAGATACTAATATCAAAGCGATTAGGAAAGAAAACGAAGCCTTAAAAGCAAAACTCGAAGCTGTCGTGAGAGAGATGTTGTCTCTAAAAGAAAAACTTGACAAGCAATGCCAGCCATTACAATCAAGCTCAACCGAGCAAGCAAAAAAGTTTGCAATATCTTAGTGATGAATATGATGATTTGAAGTTATTTAAATCCTCAACAGACAAGGAAATTAAACGATTGGATACGAAGCTCACTGATATAATCCTAAAATTCAACACAATATCCGAACAAATAGACACGATTGAACAGTACAGCTACAACTACAACGTGAAAATTATTGGCATACCACAAACGCAAGACCGGAACAAAACCGCAGCAGATACTGCTGATATCTTTATCAATCTATTTCATAGTATTGGAGCAACTAACGTCACATTACAGGATATAGACATTGCTCACACAATTCCGACTAGAGGTGTTAGCTCCAAACCCAATAGTATTATTTGCAAGTTTACCAGACGCCTAGCGAAAGAGGCTGTTATCTAAAAAAAGAAGGAAACTAGGAAGCTAACTCCAGTCGACTTCGGTCTTGATCGCCGAGCGCGACTTGACCACATCGGTATCTTTGACCATTTAACACCTAAATTACAGCAACTCCTATACAAAGCTAAATGCTTTAAAACGGAAAACAACTATCAATATTGCTGGTTGAAGTCTTCTGCCATCTTTCTCCGCGAGAATGCAGAATCTTGAGCGATAAAACTTAGAAATATGGGGGAACTTGAACGTCTGAAATCAGAAAATGGTCACACAACAACATATAGCTAAATACATTGAGCAGAATTTCTATACAATATATTGGCAGATAAGTAAATACAAACTATAATTTATAGATAATTTTTGTTAGTCATGTCTGAACTAAATGAACGTAAATCCCTCCTCAGGGAATTGCCATTTTATGGTACAAACTTTATAGAGTTTAACCCATTGAGTTGCATTGCACCCTGATGCACCCTACCTTTGTATTTTACTCTGTCTAATGCCAGATGATTTTACTCATCAAGGGGAGAGTGCTGGTGCTTAATGGGTTAACTGGCCTATCTGCCCATGTGTCTAGTTAACACATTGAGTTGCATTGGACCCTGAGGCACCCTACTTTAGTATTTTACTCTGTCTAATACCAGACGATTTTACTCGTCAAGGGGAGAGTGCTGGCGCTTAATGGGTTAATAATGGCCACTCTGGTATTCATACAAAGATGAAAGAATTGAGCAAACTCTCTAGCCTTTATGACATGGAATCATATAACTTAAATCTGTCTAACTTTTGCAATATTAATCCTGACCAAATGCTTTCAAATCATCAAATTCGCACATTTTATCACTCCTCGAATAGTTTTAAACAATTGCAAAATTCTTGGACAAAACTAAACAAAATGTCAGGTCTATCTATTTTCGATAATAACAAAATTTAGAGAATTTGCAAGTCCAATTATTAGATGAACTTGATTTCCATTTTAATATCATTGGTGTTACCGAAACAAAAATTACAAATTCAACACAACTGAATTTCGAAACAAAAATTCTGGGTTATGAATTTGAATATGTTCCTACACCTCTGGCTTCTGGAGGTGTCAGAATGTACATTGATAACACGTTGGAGTATACAGTATTGGAAAAATGTACGAACGATGCGTTTTCAAGCCTTATGGATTGAAATAATTAATCGCGATAAGAAAAACATAATTTGTGGAATCATCTACCGCCAACATAATGACCCAAGCCTCTTCATGACCTATTTTGATGAAACGGTAGAAAGGTTTTCTTTCACAGGCAAATCTCTGTGCGTCATGGGTGATTTCAATGTGGATTTCCTCAAATCAGATAGTTGCAGTCATGCACAAAATTTTCTTCTCTCATGCCAAAGCTATTCTCTTTTACCATCAATTGATAAACCAACCAGAATACATAATGATTCTGCAACACTTATTGACAATATTTTAGTAAACACACTTGATCAGCAAATTCATACTGGAAATATTATATCAGATATAAGCGATCACTTTTCACAATTCTGTATATTCATTCTGTCAGGAATATATCAAAGTTGTCAAGAAGTCAAAAAATGCGAGATTTCTCAAAATTTTCATAAAGTAAATTTATGAGCGAAGTCAATTGGGTTTCAATAGTTGAAAAACATCATCATGATGTTAATAAATTATTCTCATTCTATAATGAACAAAATAGTAAACAAACATGCACCCCGTAAATGACTTACAAAACGTGATATTAAGAAATTCTCCAAACCTTGGATCACCACTGGGATAAAAAAGTCAATCAAAGAGAAAAATAGACCACTCAGTCAAGGGAAATACGAGAAGTACAAACAATATCGAAACAAGATATCAACTCTTATCCGAGCTAGTAAAAAGAAATATTATTGGAAGTAATCTAAATAACATGAAGAACACTTGGGTGAGTATTAATAACAAAACAAACAAAACACAGAAATCTTCCCAAAAAATAACAGCTCTAAAAAATACCGAAACTGGCCAAATTACTCGAGAGCTGTCTGTTCTTCCAAATATTTTGAACAAATATTTTGCCTCAATAGGACATAAACTTGGAACAAATACGTCACAACCCCCGTAGTCACTTTACTGATTACCTGAAAGATACCCAAATTCGAGACTCTTTCTTGTGTAGTCCAATTACTTCCTCAGAAGTAGAATCTGAAATATTATCAATACCAAACAAGAAATCCCATGGCTTATACTCGTGTCCCACAAAATTTTTAAAATGTGCAAGGAATTTCATCAGCAAACCAATAGCCGAAATGATCAATAATTCTATTCAAAGTGGTATTTATCCCTCCATTTTAAAGCATGCTAAAGTAATTCCTGTTTTTAAAACAAGGGATGTGACAGAAAGCAACAATGTGTGGCTTGTGGTTTACAGGGGGTTGTTTCTACGATTAATTTTAAGCCTCATTTGGCAAACTACAAGTCGCATATAAAGCATAAGCGTAGAATATGTGGTGTAGTTAACTCTTTCTCAACAGGGCCCAATCACGTCGATCGCTAGCGGCGACGGCTCGAAATTTCATACTTTCGGTTCAGTGCATGCTATGAAGACAAAAATACCACCATTCGATTCAGAAATAATAAAAAAACTAGTTCCAAACGATAGTTATAGTCATTATTAGCATTGTAACGATTTATGGGCCTTTGAAGGTCAAAACGATCATATTGTATCAAATTACGCAATTGTCTGAACAAAAATACAGATTATTATAGACTAGCCATACCTTTCGCCGAAAATAACTTCGGCCCCATCGAACATATCGTCTTTGTAATAGTCTTGTTCGAATCCCCATTAAATAGTGTTTTTGGAGTGTTATTTGCAACCCTGAATCTACAAATCTGTATATTTTATCAATATATTTCCATTTCTTGTCCGACTGTGAGCTCAAAGTGAATTAATCCCAACCGGAAATACGACTGAAAACCGTCAAAACAATGCGGCGTTTGTATCGTATGACCCTGGAAAGGCCAGAAATGGATTCGCAAGGTCAAATTGCACCTACACGCGTGAGTTTGACGTCATCCCGGCCAAAGGAGCTTCTTATTGACCAATTATTGTGCAATGTACGCAAGTGCGAGTAAAACCCGACACTTGAAAAATTCAAAATAAATATTTCTAGTCGGCGTATACATACGAAACTTTCTACACGAAAGCGCTTGAATACAGTGAGTATTTTACACGTATAGCCGTTCAGCAAATGACGAAAAGTTCAAGGGGTATTCAAGATTTTGTGGATATGAAATTTAGAATCGTTGGCCAAGTGGTGAGTAAATATATGATTGTTTCGCTTTGTGTAATGTTTTGACGGCACTTGACCCCCCGTTCGAAAGGTTATTTTATGAGGATTTCAATGGTGGCATTTATTTAAAAGGGGGGTAAATACTTGCCGAGATATTTATATTAGAAAAATTGTATCGAAATATAATACGAAACCGGTTGTCGAGAAAGAGTTAATCACTTCATAGATGTGCATGGGAGCGAGCATTTCAACTTGAAATTTATGTTGATTGATAACAATGAGGACTTAAGAAAGTGTGAAAACTTTTGGATAGGCACTTTGCTTACTAATTTGAGGGGTTTGAATACCAGCCATGATTATTCCCAACAATAGGTTTCTGTAGGCTTTGTTTATATTGCTTTTAATTAGTTTAATCACTTATATTGTTGTATACACAAGGAAGGTAATTTACCATATTCATTTACTTTCTGATGAAGGCGGTGGCATGCTGTCGAAAATTTAAGCTATATATTTTTTTATTAAATTCATAATTTTACTTGGAGTTGTGGCAGTGCTATAACCTGTTTTATATTATCTATGATTTGTCTGCCGTGCAGAGTGTGTACACTTCTTGCATATATATACATATATATACGATTTTCATTGTTTAAAAATTATAATAGTGTTATGTTTCCCATTATAGTGTTATTTAATTTTGAATTATCCACGGATTATAAACTGATTTTGAACAACCTAACCCAAAGTTTTGGCCACAAGGCAGCACTTTCCTTGCGTTAGTAACTCTAGTACGGAAACTATAACAGTATGTAAACTTTTACTAAGAATATCTTGGATTAGATCTATGCATTGCAAATAAGCTGCGACTCCATCACTTGGTAATCTGTTTACTTCATTCCAGCATGTAGGTTGCAACTCCAAAATTTTCCATCCCATGGTAGCTTCGAACTCTTGATGGTAAGCCAAATTTGGCTATTCCTTTCTCAAACTGTTCTAAAACAGTGCTACTTCTGTTGTTATCAGCACATTGTACATAAATAAGTAATCGAGAATATCCATCTATACAGCAATGGATTGGACGACAAACCGATATCTTATCAATTTATGGTTCTCGTCTATATGCCAGAGGGCGGTTTTTGGCAAGGAACAGAGTATTTTCTTCTATAGATTACTGGTCTCCATCTAAGGGCAGTACTAATCAGGTCAAGTCGCCTTAAACAGTTTCACACCCTCCTACATTGAACCTGCATGTACCTACATCGTAAAGCACCGAATAATCTCTGTTCCCCTATGTTAGGGGTTAGTGTTCTATTTCTTTAACAATGTTTTCCAGTTCGTCCTCAGATATTTGTGACCATTGGGATGTTTTTCGTTCATTTGCCAATGTTCTCTCTTGTGATGGTAGATAAGCTAACACCGAAAAGCTTTGCTATGCTACTCCTCACGTCGGGCACGTGTGCTCGCAAAAGTTGCGAGATGATCGAAGTTCGTCAGCGGTAATTTACTGAATACTTAGTGTAAATTAAAATTTCTGATTTCCCGATGAGACACATAATGGCTGCTATTTTGCCATTTGAAACTGTTCTAAAAGAAATATATTTGAATAACAATTATTCAGAATTATCCCCGAATCGTCCGCTTTACTCCAGTAGCGACGAAGAAGAGCCAAAATATGATTTCATCGGAGAAGCTGTCAATATTTTCGCCACTTGTGATGAGTTAGGTCA